AGAGAGAGAAAGGGGCAGTTTAGGGCTATAGGGCCCTCACAGTCCCACAAGAAATGCCCCTTTTGCAGAGCGCTCTTTAAGGCTAAATCTGCTTTAGATAGCCACATAAGATCAAGACATTGGCATGAGGCTAAACAAGCAGGCTTTAGCTTGCCGCCAAGCCCAATGATGAGTCAAGACAATGAAAGAGGTGAAAGCCCAAATAAGTATAATTTCTTTGACTACCCACAGCTGCCCAACAAGACAGAGCCAAATGACTATGAGTTGCCAACCGCATCCTCAACTCCAGTCAAACCATCTGAAGCTCAAGTAAAAAACTTCTTAAGCCCTTCATCCTTAAAAGCTGAAAACTGTGATGAAACTGAAGGGCCTAATAATAATTCAGCAGAAGCTTCATCTTATGATCTCAGTAAGATGGACTTCGATGAGACATCATCAATTAATACAGCCATTAGTGATGTCACAACCGGAGACGAGTGTAATAACAATGAGGTTGAGAGCCTAACTGCTAATGGAGGAGACAAGATGAGCGACAGCAAAAAGGGCCTGTTACTAAATTCTGACGCTAGTAACGAAAGGTTTCAATTCAGCATGGTGAGTCCTGCCCTCAGCTTCTCTGGAAAAGACTGTGACTCCTACTTTAGCTCCAGAGATGACGAAATGGATGACAACAATGACAGAAGTGAATCGTCCAGCCTCGCTGACCCCAGTTCTCCCAGTCCATTTGGGGCAGGCAACCCTTTCAACAAATCTGGAAAAGTCAACAGTACTGGAGATCGACCAGGCCACAAACGTTTCAGGACCCAGATGAGTAACTTGCAACTGAAAGTACTCAAAGCGTGTTTTAGTGACTATCGCACTCCTACAATGCAGGAGTGTGAGATGCTGGGCAATGAAATTGGACTTCCCAAACGTGTTGTCCAGGTTTGGTTCCAGAATGCCCGCGCTAAAGAGAAGAAATTTAAGATTAATATTGGAAAGCCATTTATGATAAGTCAGGGTTCACCAGAGGGGCCCAGGACTGAGTGTACACTGTGTGGTGTGAAGTACACAGCCCGGATGTCTGTGAGAGACCACATTTTCTCCAAACAGCACATCACAAAAGTGCAAGAAACTCTAGGAAACCAGGTGGATAGAGAAAAGGACTACCTAGCACCGACCACTGTCCGTCAGCTGATGGCCCAGCAGGAGCTGGACCGTATGAAGAAAGCTGGGGATGGACTCAGCCTACCTAGCCCACAGCAACAAACTTCAGCAGAAAACAATAATGCACTTCATGGCCTCAGCCTACCTTCTGGCTACCCAGGATTGTCTGGCCTTCCACCAGTCTTACTTCCTGGAGTAAATGGGCCGTCATCACTTCCAGTTTTCCCTCCCAACACACCTGGTGAGTTACTATGACAAACAGTGAAACAAAAAAACTGACTAGAAGCTTTATGAACTGAACTTTATCCTGCACTATTTTATTGTACTATATATAACTGGTTATTCTGTATCACAGATATGTTTGTCAAAAATTTTACTTTTTAAAGCTATTTTAAATTCAAGAATGGTGATAGGGAGTGCATGCATTATGTTAGCAGCAAAGCCGAACTGCTTTTTGGTAAAGATTTTTCTTACAGCAAATTATCTATATCACTTTGTGTTCCCCCTATTTTAGGTTTGGTATATTTAGATTATAATATTTAGAAATCTTTAAATTATTTAAAAAAAAAAAAGCGCATGTGACAGTTTTGATCCATAACAAAATCGTAACAAGAGATTTAAAGACTCAGCCAGTGACAGGATCTTTATCTTATAACATCAAATTTCCAAAGTGATTTGGGGTTGAATATTGAATTGTTGAATATTTCCATATTTATATACCACTGTATTTCAGCTTTAGCGTCTCCAGGTGCTGGCATGCTTGGGTTTCCTACACCAGCCACTCCCTCTCCTGCCATGTCTCTCAGCACTACCCCAACCAAGACTCTTCTGCAGACTCCTCCTCCTCCTCCTCCTCCTCCACCTCCACCTCCTCCTGCTCCTTCCACACCTTTGGCAACAGTAAACCATACAGAGCAGCAAGGCAAAGATGCAGAGAGAGACAACAACAAGAAACCAGGAGACAAGCCACCTCAAATGAAGATGAAGGACAGAGAGAATGACAGCGGCTCGCGCCCCGACACCCCTAGCATGGCCAAATCAAGGGAAAGACTATGCCCAGTGCCAGGAAAAGCAGGAAATGAGACTCCCCTAGATGCTGCACAGCTTCAAGCACTGCAGAATGCTCTTGCTGCAGGTGATCCTAGCTCTTTATTGGGGGGCCAGTTCTTGCCCTACTTTCTTCCTGGATTTCCCAACTGCTTTTCTCCACAGCTTCCCAGAGGGGTTCAGGCAGGGGGCTATTTTCCACCACTGTGTGGAATGGAGAGTCTGTTTCCGTATGGACCTGCGGCAGTCCCACAAGCTGCCATGGCCGCTGGTCTCTCCCCAACCGCTCTCCTGCAGCAGTACCAACAGTACCAGCAGTCTCTCCAAGATTCCCTGCAGAAGCAACAGCAGCAGCAGCAAAAGCAACTTGAGCAGCAGCAGAAACAACTCGAACAGAAGCAGCAACAGAGACCAACCCCCGTCAAGACACCTCAGAGCGTACAGAGCACCACAACTAATTCCTTCAAAACAAAAGAAGCTGTAGAATCTAAGGATGACAACAAAGGCTCTTCAACAGAAAGCACAAAAGAAGAACCGAAAACAGAAACCAAACGTATCACGGATTTTCCAGATGCTTTTATCGTACCATCTGTCAAGCATGAGTTTATATGCAGGAAGTGCCAGATGATTTTTGCTGACGAAGATTCAGTGATACGTCATCAAAAGTCCTTCTGCTACTTCGGACATCCTTTTACTGACCCGCAAGAGACAGTGCTTCGAAAAGCAGTGAGCAACTACACTTGTGTTGCCTGCAATGTGGTTGTTAATGGGAATGAAGCACTTGGCCAACACCTTCAGTCGAGCTTGCACAAAGAGAAAACAATCAAACAAGCAATGAGAAATGCCAAAGAGCATACTAGATTATTACCTCACTCTGTCTGCTCCCCTACTCCTAACACCACATCTACCTCGCAGTCTGCAGCTTCTTCGAATAACACCTTTCCTCATCTCTCTCGCTTGTCCATGAAGTCCTGGCCAAATGTCCTGTTCCAGGCCAACACAGCCCGGAAAGCTGCTTCCTCTTCCCCGTCTGCCTCCCCCCCTCCCCCCCTCTCCTCACCCTCAACGGTTACCTCAACTTCCTGCAGCACCTCAGGGGTTCCAACCTCACTACCCACCGAGAGTTGTTCAGATGAGTCTGACAATGAGCTAAGCCAGAAGCTGGATGACTTAGATAATGCGTTGGAAGTCAAGGCTAAGGCAGCCTCTGGCCTAGACGCGAGCTTCAGTAGTATCAGAATGGATATGTTCAGTGTGTAGGAGTGACAAAAGGATCCCTTGCTTAAAGAAAAAAATAAGACTTTTTAAACTGCAGTTCCAAAGTTTCTCTTAACCCAAAAAAAAATTACAGTACCAAATGATTGACTCAGGATTGTTTTTCCCATATTGATATGCTGGCAAGATATTGATTGATTTTTGTTATGGACAGAACTGTTGCAGATGCTTGACTGAGCTTATATTGTATACAAAAACATGGAGTAGGAAAAAAATCTCACAAGCTCCCTTTTAGGGGGCCTGTTTCAAGCCAAAAACTCTCACGATAGCAAATTGCACCTCAGCTGGATTGTTTTCCAAATGCTAGCATGTACTGTATGGGATGACGATCCAGAACCCTCAAAGAGAATCTCTCTTAGTTTAGATAGGTGTAATTCAGTAGCTTTAAATTCTCAGGTCAGAACATAACATTTCTCATTTGTTAAAACAGCACCAAGCCTGGGTACACTTGGCTTATAACCAAAACATGTCAAGCTTTATCGGACGCATTTCCTTGATGTGTATAGAGTACCAAGAGACAATATTACTGTTACAATGGACGATGTGCATATCCTTTTAGTTTTACCCTACAAAGACAGTATGGGTTTGCCACTGAGGGAATTTAGAATGGTGAAGTAAATGTGTATGATGCCCCTGTGTTTGCCAGTTTGTATTACAGCAAACTGTATCTATTTCCCACCCCTGTTTTTTCTTGTAGTATATACTAATCTGTGCCAACTCTTACCTTCTCACTTTTACCTCTGCTCACACCCTTTTCTGAAGAGGTAATAACTCTAGTTTTGATAGACTCTCGGATTATGTGAATATAACATTTTTCATTTGTGAATTGCTGTACTGTTACGGTACCTGCTTGTGTCTGGACTATAGTGCACTTAATTTGAATTTATTTGTCTTTTTTTTATTATTTGAGTAGGTCATTTGTTAATTTAATAGATTTTGTTTGTATGTATGTGTTTTAATTATTATTTGTGTCAATTGCAGCAGCATATTGGTCCATACTTGTTACAGGATTAATGCCTAACAATCGAGAGACCTATTTAACAATTGGTGCATCAAAGAAAGCAGTACTGTATACTTGAAACTGTTAAGGTACAAGTTGGTCACAAAGTTAAAAAAAAAAAAAAAAAAAAGGTATAAAAATTTGTTCAACGTTGGAAAAAATGCTCTTTTAAGAGGGGGGACAACAGCATTTTTTGTTTAATATTAACATTTTTTTTTTTTTTTAATGTATGTGCAAGATTCAAAACAGTGTTAAACCTGGCCACTTAGTGCTTAGGTTAACGTCCTCCCATGATCTACTACAGTTGAAGTCAACATTGACTTTCCACATTTAGTAACATTTGAAAATTTTCAAAGTATTACCATACTACATTTGCTGCTACTGTGTAATCTTAATTTGCTTGCCATAAAGTCTTTCAACTTTCAACCAAAACTGATCCATTGATTGCTTTAGTTTTGTTTTTGTTTTTTGTTTGTTTGTTTTGTTTTTGTTTGTTTTGTTTTTATTATTATTATTATTATTATTATTATTATTATTATTATTATTCTGTGGAACTAAGAATGTGAAAGCTGTCAAAGGGTGTTCAATTTTTTACGAATCACTTTCTAGTTTGGTAACCAGTGTGATTCATTCCAAAGTAACAGAAGGCTATTTGTATGAAAGAAAAAGGCTTGTGAACAAAGAAAGCTAAGCTGTTGTACATATTCGTAGTTGGCTGTGCATGGTACAAATTTATTAATATGAAGAAATGCAAAAATGTATTGCTTTTGGTATTTCCTATTCTGAAATGAGCAAGTAGCATGTAATGCAACTGTTTGACAGGTTAAATCAAATCATGCTTAGTTATTGTTTCAAACAATGAAATCAAGTAACATTTCCTCCTATGTTTTATATTTGTAAAGGTGTTTTTTTTTTTTTTTTTCAAAGTTTTAAGCAAAACATCAGTTTTTAATTTTCTGTGTGAGCTTTTCAAATGTCATTATTTAGATTTTTAGCGTTTTACATTTACTTTATTCCTGAAGACACTTTTCGATTGTGTTTCATGTGAGACATCCTGGCCTCCCAAGGTGCAATTCTGCCATTGTACAAACATAAACGACTGTCCTGATTCCAAAGGCTTTCACAACTCTGGCGTTTTTGCCTTTCCCCACTTTGTGGCTCAGCATTATAAGACTGAACTGTCAGCTAGCATCATGTGCTAAGATGCTAGCATCAGACAGGACACTTCCCACATGAAGGACTGGTAAAAGCTACGAAACCAACAAAAAGGATGGTCTAACAATATAACTGTACATATATATTGCAACTGCACAGCAGCCAAAAAGAAAAAAAAAAAGAACTTTTTTTTTTTTTT